ATTCATCTCCTCTCTAAGTTGGTGTACCGTACCAATCACACGTACATGTCTATTTAAAACAGTGCTTTAAAATTAATTTTGCACCATCCACACTATTGTATCTGCTCCATTAGAGATGAGATATGGCGTAATTCATTTATGCAGCAACCTCAGTAAATATTCAGTTTGGAGAAAATGTGAAGCGTGCATTTTATATTTCATAATAATATACACCCTGATCCTTCATGTGTTTCCTGGCAAGGATGCTCTGCAGTGCATTAAGGGTTAATAATGAGCAGTATTTACTAAAAATAAATAAATAATAATAAACCAACCAAAGTGGATCTTCATGCTACTAACACATTGAAGCATGGTCTAAGCAGGCATGCCTTCACGCTACCCTAGTTCCATTCTTCTCAAATATTTGGGGTATTTGAGACCAGCACACATTGAGTGGTCACCCCTGTTTCTGCTCCATAATAGGGCTGTGATTTTGTAGAGAAAACGCTGAGTAATGTCTTTCATTCGAATGCAGAGGGTTAAAGTTCCTACCCTGACAGGGCACTCATTCAAATCAGTATCGATTAGGGTTTTTTTTATTTTATTGGAACTAGTTGGGGATAAAGAGAGCAATAGATATTGTACCTTTTAAAGGGTAGGGATCTGGATGTAAATATATATATTTTAAAATCGTGGGAATAAGTGTATATTATATGTATATATGAAAGTAATGTGTGTATGTGTATATATAGCATAATGTGTGTATGTGTGAATATATGCAAGTAATGTATCTATGTGTGTATGTATGTGTGACTGTATATATGTGTGCGTATGTGTGAATATATGTATATATATGCAATATATAATGAATGTATATATGTAATGTGTGTGTATGTGTGTATATATATATATATAAAATGTATAATCTGTGTCTATATGTAATGTATATGTGTGTGTGTATAAAATATATAATCTGTGTATGTCTAAATGTAATGTATATGTGTGTGTGTATATATAAAATATACAATCTGTGTATGTCTATATGTAATGTATATGTGTGTGTATAAAATATACAATCTGTGTATGTCTATATGTAATGTATGTGTGTATAAATAAAATATATAACCTGTGTATATCTATATGTAATGTATATGTGTGTATATGTGTCATAACTTAATGTATATATATATATATAGTGTAGATATGCATAGAACATGCTCTTATGTACACTGCTATTAATGTTTAGATGTATATTATCTGTGTAAATGCGTTTATGTATATCTGTAGTACAATACACATTATGGTCTTTATATGATACTTTGTGATGGGCGAGTTTCTGTTGCGTTGCAGTTTGTGTGATAAAGGTATTAGTCTGCAGTTATTATGTAACGGGATTTGTGAGTTTTGTCTGTGTGTGCACTAGATGTATATTGCCTGCACACACATTGTATACAGTAACAGTGCATTCACGGATAATGTCATTTTAATTGTGTGAAGTGTGTTCTAAGCTGATTCATTTTTTAGTACAGATCAAAGTTACTAAGGAACGATGTGTATATGTGCCTATTTATGTGTGTACATGTTCCCCTGGATAGATGGTTATTTTAGTTTTTTGAGAATACTACAATATTTTTTTATTTTCCACAGTCCTGTAAGCAGGTTATATGAGATGTAATATTTCAGATAGTCTATTAAGCTGTATATTCATTGATACTTTGGCCTTTAACCCTTGCTCTCCTGTACAGGGCTGTGTCACGGGAATGTTACTAACGTTCAGTCTCAAATATTTCGTCTTTTGCCAGGAGTTCCAGTCTTTTCCACTTGGGGGCGCCATTTCTATCTAGTTTGAGCTTCTTGGGTTTTTTTTGTGCAAAATTTTTCTCGAAATTCTTTCGAAATTCCGAAATAAAAACACACACACAAAAAAAGGGCTTGTTTATTAAAGCAAACAAAAGACAGCATCCAGTTTAGGACACTCAATAATGAGATGTAAATTCCTGAACATGCACTAATAGCTGTTCATGATAGATTTCTTTTTTTTAGATCATGTAATGGGGTTTGTAACTTTTTGGCTGGGCACATGCAATGTTAGCAGTAATTAACTCTTTGTGGGTACCGGATAATGACTGCAGCCATTAACCCTGTGTGCAACCTTTTAGTTAGGTAAGTGCAAGGCTTGTACTCATTAACCCTTCTTGTAACTCTTTAAGTTCAATGGTTGCATTCACTAACACTTCCTGTAACTCTTTAACTAAGCTCAATGATTGAATTCATTAACCCTTCTTGTAACTCCTAAACGAAGTTCAAGGAATGCCTACATTAATCCATCTCAGAAAGAATGTCATTGATTAACCCTTTTTTTTGTAACGCTTGCTGAGTGGGTGCAAGGATTGCAGTTATTAACATTTGGGCAACTCTCTGGCTGAGTGAGTGCAAGGACTGCATTCATTAACCCTTCGTGTAACCTTTTAGTGAAATATAAGATTTGTGTCCCTTAACCATTTTTGGGACATTTTTCAGCTGGGCGAGTGCAATGATTTCCTTCATTAACCCTTTGTGTAACATGTTAGCTGGGCGAGTGCAATGATTTCCTTCATTAACCCTTTGTGTAACATGTTAGCTGGGCGAGTGCAATGATTTCCTTCATTAACCCTTTGTGTAACATGTTAGCTGGGCGAGTGCAAGGATTGCCTTCATTAACCCTTTGTGTAACATTATAGCTGGGCGAGTGCAGGGGTCGCATCCATTAACTCTTTAAATGCCAGCTATGCTGTCTTATTCTTGCTGTTTTCAATAGGTGCACTGAGATTAAGGGGTTACAGACGAAATTAACTCTCTTCATGCCAGAGCCTCTTGTGTTAGGAACCCACACAATGACCCATAGAAGTGGCAGGGCTTCACCCTCTAAGATAAATCAATCAATATAGAATGGTAGTAACAGTACTCGCGTGTGTTTTAAAGTTTATTTCATGTTAATAAATAAATAAAGTGGTAAGATTCGAAAACAACAAAATTAACCAGTAAGCATAAAACACAGTTTCAGTTCATCTTGTAAATGAATTATTTTGAGAATCCCAAACTGCTACAGTGAGAGGGAGTTTTTTTTTTTTTGTATAGCTGTAGGTATTTGCAGCCAGATTAAGGTATCTATAAATCTAGATATATGGTTGTAGATAGAGATGGCCCTGGGTAGCTGGAGATCTATAGATAGCAGTAGGTAGCTGTAGATTGAGAGCTTTAGATAGAACTGTATAGTACATCACATTGCTGTATATAGAGAAGGATATCTAGGGATAGTATTGATCAGTAGATGTTTGTTTTGTTTTTAATGATTAAGTGTCCCAGATCAGGGTCACACTATAAATTTTAGGAAACAGACCAGAATTAAAGTGTTCTATCTCAGATCTGACTTTACAATGTAGAGCTGACATTAGTTATTTAATATGTAGGTGTGCATGGAGGCTGCTGTGCTCACTTTCATGTCCCATATAGTATACAGAGAGGTGTATATTCTGTATTGCATGCTTATGTATGAAGGCTGCTGTACCCACTTTTATATAAGATACAATATATAGAGAGGCAGCTGTACACACTTTATGTCATGCACTATGTGGAATAGTGTATACTCTGCTTTGCATGATGTGTATGGAGGCTGCTGTACCCACTTTGATATAAAATACAATATATAGTTAGGCTGCTGTACAAACTTTATGACATGCAGTATATATAGACCACTGTATACTATGTATTGTATGAATGGGTATGTTGGCTGCTCTACACACTTTGCTGTACACACTTTGATATAATATACAGTATATAGAATAGTGTATATTTTGTTTGTAGGCCGCTTTACACAGTTTGATATAATATGCAGTAAATAGAATACTGTATTCTTTGTATGGAGGCTGCTGTACACACTTTGCAATGACATTGGTATATACTCTGCATTGCATGCATGTGTTCGAGGACTGCTGTACACAGTTTGATATAATATGCAGTATATAGAATAGTGTATCATTTGTATGTAAGCTGCTGTACACACTTAAAAATAATTTACAGTATTGGATAGTGTATACTTTGTATGTAGGCTGCTGCACACACTTTGATATAATATACTGTATCTAGAATAGTGTATACTTTGTATGTAGGCTGCAGTACACACTTTGCTATGACGTGAAGTGTATACTGAGCATTGTATATATGTCTGTGGAAGCTGCTGTGCACACTTTGCTATGACTTGCAGTATGCAGTGTAGTGTATACTCTGTGCTGTTTGTGTGTGAAGGCTGCTGTACACACTTTGCAATGACATACAGTATATATAGTGTAGTGTGTACTCTGTGCTGTTTGTGTGTGTGAAAGCTGCTGTATACAGTTTGCTATGACATACAGTATATAGTGTAGTGTATACTCGGTACTGTTTGTGTGTGAAGGCTGCTGTACACACTTTGCTATGACATACAATATATAGTGTAGTGTATACTCTGTGCTGTTTGTGTGTGAAGGCTGCTGTACACACTTTGCCATGGCATAAATTATATAGTGTAGTGTATACCATATGCTGTTTGTATGTGAAGCCTGCTGTACACAGTTTGCCATGGCATACATTATATAGTGTAGTGTATATCCTGTGCTGTTTGTATGTGAAGGCTGCTGTACACACTTTACTATGACATACAGTATATAGTGTAGTGTATACCCTGTGCTGTTTGTATGTGAAGGCTGCTGTACACACTTTGCATTGACATACGTTATATAGTGTAGTGTATACTATGTGCTGTTTGTGTGTGAAGGCTGCTGTACACAGTTTGATATGACATACAGTATATAGTGTAGTGTATACCCTGTGCTGTTTGTATGTGAAGGCTGCTGTACACAGTTTGATATGACATAAAGTATATAGTGTAGTGTATACCATGTGCTGTTTGTGTGTGAAGGCTGCTGTACACAGTTTGATATGACATACAGTATATAGTGTAGTGTATACTCTGTGCTGTTTGTATGTGAAGGCTGCTGTACACAGTTTGATATGACATACAGTATATAGTGTAGTGTATACTCTGTACTGTTTGTGTGTGAAGGCTGCTGTACATTTTGATGCTTGCCATTGCCTGGTCTTGTTGAGCAGTAGCTGTCACTTCTCACATCTCTTCACCCCCCTCTCCTTTCCCCTGCCCCACTCCTATGCTAATCTAGCAGACACTCCCCAGCCATTGGATGGCAGTGAGTGCTCCCTCCCCTTACACCTCGTGATGCGAGGGGAGGGATATAAGTAGCAGTCTAGCTGGAAGAGGCACAGATGATAGCCAGAGCTATAGACCCTCCAGTCCTCAGTGAGAGGGGTTTGTTCAAAGGCATCACCTGCCTGCTCTTTCAACCCAACAAAGTTCCCTGACTCCAGTGTCTTCTCTGCTGCAACTGGAATTTACAAAAAGCCAAGCAGAGAGGATTTGGGAGCTGTCCCCGGCACTCTGGAGAGGAAGGGGGGAAGGTCTGCTGTTCTCCAGCGTTTATTTGGGATTTTTGCCAAGCTCAGCAGAAAGAAGGCGATCTGAGCAAGCAAGGAGGAGAATTGATTAGAAGATTCTTTCTTCAGAATTCTCGGCTCTACTCTTCGTCCCCTGCAGCAAGACTAGTCTCCTGCACTGGGGATCCTTGAGTGTGCATTGAGAGCACACTCAGGGTAGCAGGGCTGGAGTGAAGAAGCGTGACATGGCCGGAGAGTTGCCCATTGGAACAGATTTGCCTACAAGTCCTCTAGCCATGGAGTACGTCAATGACTTTGACCTGATGAAGTTTGATGTGAAGAAGGAGCCCCTGGGAGGCAGAGCAGATCGCACCCTAAGGCATTGCAACCGCTTACAACCTACCGGCTCAGTGTCCTCCACACCCATCAGCACCCCCTGCAGCTCAGTGCCCTCCTCTCCCAGCTTCAGCCCCACCGAGCAGAAGACACACCTGGAGGACCTCTACTGGATGACCAACAACTACCAGCAGGTCAACCCAGAAGCTCTTAACTTGACCCCAGAAGATGCAGTGGAGGCACTCATAGGGCCCCACCAGATGCCCCCACAGCTGCAGGGCTTTGATAGCTTCAGAGGTCACCACCACCATCACCATCACAACAACCACCACCACCAGTATCAAGGAGTCCCCCATGAAGACATGGGCCACCAGCACCCACATCATCATCACCACCATCACCATCTCCAAGGTTCTCCAAGTCCTTCTGGGTCCTCCACTTCTTCCCAGCAGCTGCAGAACAGTCACCAACCTCACCACCAGTCCTCCAGCCAAGTGGAAGATAGGTTCTCCGACGAGCAGCTGGTCTCCATGTCTGTCCGGGAACTCAACAGGCATCTCAGAGGCTTCACCAAGGACGATGTGATCCGTCTGAAGCAGAAGAGGAGAACCCTCAAAAACAGGGGTTATGCCCAGTCCTGCAGGTACAAGAGAGTCCAGCAGAAGCATCACCTGGAGAACGAGAAGACCCAACTAATCCAGCAAGTTGAGCATCTAAAGCAAGAGGTGGCCAGGCTGGCCAGGGAGAGAGATGCCTACAAGATCAAGTGCGAGAAACTGTCCAACAACAGCTTCAGAGAGGCTGGTTCGACCAGCGACAATCCGTCTTCGCCAGAATTCTTTATGTGAGTCAACCGGGGCAGAACAGAACTTGAGGCTGCTTGTCCTCTGAACATCTCTAAAACTGCCTGCTTTCAGTAGGGGGGGCGTTGGTGGGTGGTTGGGGGTTCAAGAAATCCATCATTACCATAAGAACTCAGCACCTACTGTTTGGTTTTTGTAGACTAGTCTTTTGGTGGGACAGGGGTGCACACAAGAAGAACTTTAAACATAGCCCTTCTATCTGGGTTGCTCTTTTCTTTGTTGGGGAGGGGGGTTACCAGCCTGTTTGTGGGGGGCTAAGGAAGGGAAGGGGAGAAAACTTTTGGCAGAGGTTTGCTTTTTTTTTATAAAAGTCCTCCAGTAACTGATGAAAAAATGACAATGTATCTTTGGAAGGAGGAAAATAATGAACAGTGTAATGTAAGACTGCCTAACTTACAGCTTTGGTTCAGATAAACTAGTTTAAAGAAGAAACAGGTGGGAGATTATGTGCAACCCCTATCCCTTGGGTTTTATTGCCTGCTTGATTATCTAGAAAATATAAGAAACAAAAAAAAAACCTGCATTAAAATATTAATCCTGCATGCTGGACATGTATGGTAATATGTTCTATTTTGTAACATTTTGTTGTTTAATCTGAGCATGCTGTTATTCTGGTTATTGGCCTCAAATCTTCATTTTATTTTTTATTTTTTTTTTGTATTGAGGTGTCCAGATTTTATTGTTTTGTTTTTTTTTTGTTTTTATTAGCTATGTGCTTAAGTTGAAATATCCCTGTTCTTCTAGGTTCTTAACTCTTTCGGTGCCAGGCTAGGCAATCGGCTTTCAGTCCTCTTTTCTTACTCTGGCACTCAAAGGGTATAATCTGTATATAATTATGCCATCTTCACATTTCACTTGTTTGATATAAGTATTTCTATGGGCATTTTAGTGCACTTTTAGATTGGTTTTGCCCCTAAGTTTTTTTTTTTTTGTAATATATATATTTAATTTTTTTTAATTTTTTTTTTTAATGCTTTGATCAAATTTTGAATGAAAGAAAAAATATAAAATCAATCACAAATGTAAATGTGCTATAACTATTTGCAGTGTATTAAGTGCCTGCTCTAGTTATAGCTCTTGATAAAATGACCCCAATTCTACTTAAACATTGTTGTTGTATGTCAATAAATTATTATTACCCAGAATTACTCTCTCAGGAATTGTATTAAGAGCAAGCAAACAAAAAAATGCATATATTAAAATATTCACTAAAGGGTGATTTGTAGTGAATTGAAAAGTGAATTTGCCAAATTTAAGTCCAAATAGCCAAGTTGTCTATAAAGCAGGATTTTTGCAATTTTTTTCCAAGTCAGTTATTGTGGCCTAAATTATGCAAAAAAAGGACTTTCGGTGCTCCACAAATCACTGTTCAGTGAATATACTCCTTGGTGTTTTAACCCTTCATCGCCCAGAGGGACCGATACCAAATTATGGCACCGGCTAATGCAAGTCCTCTGAGGGATGGAGAGTTAAATTTGCCAAAGATGTGAGTAGAAACAATTCATCCCCTTTTACATGAAATGCTGGTATCTTGCGTTTTATTCCTGCTGACAACAGGATAGTGGAAAAATTCTATAGCATACTCTCTGAGGACATAGGCAGGGCTCTGTTTTGACAGCTTAAATTGTGACTTATATAGATACTAAATACTTTTGCTTCTAAAAGCTGCGTTCTCCTGTTTATTTCTTACTACTAACAGCTAGCATAGAAATTTTTTATTTTCATTTTTTTTTACATTTTTTTTAAATTTCTGTTCTGCTCAGTTTATTTATATATGTAGCAGTGAGATGCAGCCGGTTTCTGAACAGTTTCATTTTTCTGCTGGTCAGTAAAAAATATATAAACATAAAGTGATGCTGTCTGCTCACGGTATACCAAAATATTATTATTCTTTTTTTTGTTAATGCATATTTTTTCTTTTTTTTTTCTTTTTTTTTGTTCCTGGCACTGCTGGTGCAGATGCGTATGAACTTTATAAAAAAATATTTTTTGCCAGTTTATTTGTTGATAAGTTAACTGTAGTAAACAGGTTTTTATGAACAGCATGATGCTTGCAGTCTTAAAATATTGTGGATCTGTGTCAGTGCATCAACAATGGTCTGTGGGTTGTTTATTTGTTTTGTTTTGTTTTTTATTTTATTTTTTCCTGATTCAACTGGGTTGAAATCATGTATTTTTCGGCAGTGAGCTGTTTTTATTTCACATAAAGTTCTGAAGGGAAAAATTTCATACCCTGCTTCTGATAAGATTAAAAAAAACTGTTCATATCTGGTCTATTGTAGTTTAATTCAGACTGGTTTCTGTTTTTTGTTAATAAAATTGTTTCCTATTTTGCTTATTAAAATCATTGAAATTGCTTTATTTGTTTGGACTGTTCCTTTCATGTATATCATTAACATTTTATTCTCGATTTTTATCTATCTATACACACACATCATTAAGAAATACGTAGGCACCTGCAGCAAATCTAATAGGTTATCACTCCTTTTTCTCTATATAATTATCCCTCTTCTATTTCATGTATTTTGTTTTAGACTTTTAAATATACATTTAAGGAATAAGATATTTTTTCCTGTAATAGAATGTATTTGTTTTTTCCTTCACAGCGATTTAAGGTTGCAGAATGCAGTTACGAGATCATTGCACGTAATGTTCTGAGAATAGGTTCAGGGTCCAGCATGTTCTGCCATAAAATAATCACACGGACTTCGGACAGAATTTAAACTCTTATTACACTCTTTTTCACATAATACACCTTTAATAATTCACTCTCGTTATGTTCTAGCTATCCAGATTCATTAATAAATACCTTGGGATTGTAGATATTAACTGTTTAGCTCCAACAGAAACATGCAGTAAAGACTAGATAAAAGTACTAAAAAAAAAAGAGTTAAGATGTTCAGAATTACTGAGAGACAGGTTAGCATTTTTGGTATAACGCTTGATTTTGCACGCTTGCCTAGCATTTGGAAACGCATTTCACTTTTTGCAGACTCGGCTGCAAACGTTGCAGAAGCACCCAAAAAAGGTGCAGTTTAGCAAATCGGGATAACATTTACTGGACATTCTATTTCAAATTGTATCAAGTAATATTTTTTTCTGATAATATATTTAGTGCTTTGCTCTTTGGATTGCCTCTCAAGACACATTACGGTTCGTTGTAAGGCAAGCGAATTTCAGCCTTGGCGATGATATCGAACCTAAATGGTTAAGGGAATTTGTTGCAAGGACCAGAATATATTTTAATGTGTATGGGTATGTAAATGGATATATGTGTGTATGTATAATATATATTAATTGTATTATTTACTATTAATGCCAGAGTGATTTCCTATTACATTCAGTGAAATGATTAGGAAAAATGTAAATGTAGGTGTTATGTAATACATACAAGTCTACAGACAGAGGTTTGCTCACTAAACTCCGAATTATAGCAAATTCAGGAAAAATCTTCCATCTCATCAATAGCCACAAATTGGCTATTCACCCCCCCCTCCCCCCCCAGCATGTGTGTGTGTGTGTGTGTGTGTATGTATATATTTATTAAGACTCTTTTGGTACAATCTTAATATAGTTCTAGAAATGGGCAGACATATATAAACCCAATAAATTCATTTTGGCACTCTGTGACATAGGTAGGTTAAAGCATAGGATTTATATACATATATATTATATGTAATTAAAGTAGAATAATGTATAATTTGTTATATGTTGCATGCTTGTTTGATATTTGTTACAGTCTGTTTTTTTACTAATATGTCTAAGTGGTATGTTTTCATATATGTGTATATATATATACACACACACACACACACACACACACACACACACACACATATATATTTCCATATTAAATAACAAGCGAAGTGAATTTTAGAACTCTTACTGTTGCAATTTGTACATAGCAAATTTCACTAGACAGCTGAAGTGCGAATGCAGCAACCAAAAAAATTGTGTTCCATAAATACGCCATATATTATATATTTAATGTACACTTGTTTGCAAAACTTTGCCAGGTGAAGACTATTGCTGCCTTTATCTATGTGCAGTGGGCACAGATTATTTAGGAATGCATCGTTGCTCCCTCCTCGTTTAACCCCTTTGCCATAACAGGCACAGGCCGTATACTGCAGAGCCATAGGATGCCGGTTCTAGTGGTGGCATACGGGTTAATGCGTTTTATTTGGCCATGCTTGATTGAGAGTGCTGGACTGGAATATTGTGGGAACTGCCATAACATATTACTGTCCTCTCATGCATGCATTGAATAAATCGCTGTACTAATTGAACAACAAGAAAAGACGCACACAAAAAATTTAAAACCCACATGCTTTGAGAATCCAAGATGGGATGGCTCCCCTCTCAGCTGTAACAGGGGCAACTGTCCGTCAGGTCCACCGTATAGCTTAGGGTTTATTGGACGTAGAAAGCACAGACAGCATGGCACCAGTGACATGACATCCAACTAAAGACACATTCTAAAGCTATAGAAACATACTGTCACGTAGGGAAAATCAAATCAAACACTTACCTTTTTGTTGGGGTAAAAAAAAATTCAATAGCACTGCATGACAATTTAAACAAATATTTCTTCTACTCCAAAGAAAGGGTTAAACCTGGTTGCAAACTAAAGAATATGTAAGTAAAGACATGCCCTGAAGCTTCTTTGATTTTTTTCCAACTCCAAAACGCCAGAAAATATATATGTTCAAAATTTGCTGCAAAGTCTCATGATCTGAGCCTTGTTCCCTTGGTTTATATTTTATCGCTACCCGTCCCTAATAAGTACAGTTTAGGGCAAAGTCTCTCCCTGCAAGAGCCAAATAACATGGAAGAATTTCACAAATGCATTTTAGTGCTGCTGTGCTTTTAATAGGGACTTCCCTGACATCAGAGTATCTGTCCCTCTCTCTATTCCTTTTTATTCCACTTCTTGTACATCTCAAATGCTTGAAGATATTTCTTATCCAGTACCGCAAATAGCAGATTTTCCGATCAGGTAGCCTCAATCCCCTCCTTTTATTTAAGAAGTATCGTTAATAAAACATTTCACCATCCGCTGCCGTTACCTGAATTTAAACGGGTACTAATGTACTCTTGCTCCCGAGAGCACTTTGTGACTATGCGTGTAAAATAAATTATATATAAATATACTTGTGTGTATTAAATAAAAATAATAAAAAAGTAATGTTTCAATACTGGCGCTCAATGAATGATTAGCAATGAGTCAATTAATCGGAAATCTTTTTTATTTTTATTTTTATTAATCTGTAAGAATGCGTGTTCTAAAATTTCCACAGAAAAAGCATGGGTTGTCATTTATACCCCAGTGGAAAAAGGAATAGATCCAAAACTCTGCGGAAAGAAATGGAAATAGGACTTATTTAAGTAAAATGGCTGTTTGGTAACCAAATTAATACTGTTAAAATAAAATAATAATAATAATAATTAAAAAAAAACCTACTGAAACTGAAAAAACAAAAGGCATCGGAATTTGGGGAACCTCATCCAAGCTTTTTCCAAATCTGTATTTAACACTTGACAAATGGCATGACCTCCTATCGGGCATTGTATTTGTTTTTGCGGTCTGCGGTGTGAATTTGGACGCTTAACGTGTTCATATCATACTTTGCATTCAACCCGACACAATTATTTTTGCATGTTCTAACAAAATAAACACCAAGGGGCAAAAAAAAAACAGAAAAAAAAAACAGGTTGAAGTTGATTTTGAACAGACACATTTTTACCTTGCATTTGAAAATGATTATGATTTGCATGGCTTTGTAGTCATTGCATTTTAAGGGGTGCAGAATGAAGTCAAGGCCTTTTTCCCCCTCGGTTTTATTTCCTGCATGTCTTAAGTAATTTAACCATTTGGTAACCAGAGCAGTATGATGCAAACTTTCCTGTATTTGCATGTTGTATGTTATACATAATCCCTTTTCTATTGCTTGTTTACAGATACCCCAAACTTTATAAGTTTTTCTTGTTACGCATTGTGCGCCTTAAGTACCTAATGACACTATACCGTCATCACAATCTGGTTTCTAGAGACCTCATGCTAGCTAGCTATGTGTGTCCTGCTTATTTAGCAGCTTTCTACAGCCCTGCAGCCGTTATACAAGTAGATTGTTTCAAAGACCACATTGCTCCGATGGCATAGAACATCACTGGTCCTTAAAGGGTTAAGTGACTTATTCGTCAAGTAGGCAACAGTGACGCAGAATCTATCATTGCTTTGCTGCATGAACGGCCAGATTATGTGATCTCTTTCTTTCTTAAACCCTTTATCTCTCCATCTACCTCAGCCCTTCTCTATCTCTTCTCTCTACTTTGCATTCTCTCTCCATCATTTTCTCTGTTTTTCTTTCTTCCACATGCTTTCCTTTATTTTTCCCTTGCTGAATCGACGCTTCTAATTATTATTTTTTTTTGTAAAAATTTTTTCACTTAACCAGATGAATTAAAAAATAAATAAAAAAGAACGGTTGAAATGCTGTTTTTACGCTGAACACCTGCAAAAATGCAAGCTTGTCAAAAAAAAATATCTTTTTAAAGTTTATATTACTCTATGCATTGTGTTTTGTGCTCATTAATATTTGCATCCCCTCACTGCAATGGACTAATATAGCATTGGCAGTATCAATCAGCAGCTGGGAATTTTTACGTGGTCTTGAAAAATGCAAATACACTTTGTAAGATTTTGTACTCCTTTAAGGTTCTTGTATGTTGCTGGTTTAAATGGAGACCACATAAAAACTAAAAGATGTACCGTATTTTACAGTGTATTGGATCACTGTGCCATGCATACACCGAGAGAGAAGACTTCATGTGTTCTTCTTATGGTACTCACAAAATATGCTGTTTTAAAGATCATACAATTTCATCTGTACATTGTAATAGAAAAATTGGCTAACAAATATATAGATTTTTAGATCATTTTCATTTTTCAGTTCTTTTACACACCTGTCAATTTCCTGCAGAAAGATTCGTGCTGTTGTTGTAGACTTTTGTACTGAGAGCTAAGAATTGATTGACAGGAGAGAAGCAGTAGAACCCCCCTACAAGGGTTCACCTGCTCACAGCCACCATCTACCCCAGCTCCACCCAACTCCTGCATACACCTACAACGATGCCTAGGGAAATGTTCCCAAGCAAGTCAATTGCGTAGGTAGATAGGCAGAGCTAGCACAAAGGCTGCGTTATGGCTGCATTCTTGGCAATGGGAAGGAGGTATGTTTTAACCCAAAATCTCATTAATCGATGAGCTATATTATTGATCATTATGATCCGTAATATACCCTTTTTCTAATGTGATATTAGGACTTTTATGTAGTCACCATCAAATATACAATGTTTCC